GTTAAATAATTTCTAGGAATCAGTGGCACAAATAGATTTAACAAAATATTGTTTCTTATTAGTTACCTACCTCATTGCTCATTCAAAATGTGGTAGATACACATGCCTTAACTTACATAATTCTTTCTACCATAAGTTTCTGAGGTGGAATTGTGTAAAGCAATCGTAATCATTTGACAGTTCATAACGTACAATAATGTCAGTTAAACAAAGCGTTTGACAGAATAATTGTACGAGAACTGTCAAATGATAATGATTGCTTTACACAATTCCACCTCTGATTTATCAATCGGTCTAATATCGATATCACCCGACAGCAAGACTAGTTACATCCGATAGGAGGCAGCTCGGCAACACCAATTGTGATGCCTCACCCTGACCTCAGGGCAGGTTGGGGCGGGTTTAGGTTACGCTGCATTATCTGGCTCTATGCCTCGGGCGGTAGAAACGCGAGTGCTATATTGTTTGCTACAGTTCAATGTTAAAATAATGTCTTGGAATCGGTAACACAAAACGAATGGACCTAAAGATCAAAAATATTTTTTACATAGCTATGTAGGTAGGTATCTCATTTTTAATTCAAAATATTGCAGAAGCGGCAACATGGCTTCCAATATTTTGACGTAAAAATCAGATAGATGGCTTAATGGCTTTACATGTTTCATAATAATCAAGGTGGACCGTTTTGCCCACAGGGTCCTTTTTGCCTTCCTTTCCCCTACGTATAATTTAAGTAAGTATATCATAATATCCCCTTTATCTTTAATGACCCACTTAATTATTTTATTCTTATGCTGAGTTGCACAAACTTACTTTATCCGTAACTACTTAATAGTTTAACTTATTGATATTTTTAACTGTTCAGAAGTATTTGGTCACTTTGTCTGCTCCAATATTTCTGACGGCGACTGTACAATGTAGGTATTAAACCTACAAAAACCGCATCAAAATCCGTTGCGATTTTAAAGATTTAAATATTATTATATCTGTCGATGACATGGATAGACAGACAGCGTAGTGACATGGAAGTGACTTTGTATTTATGTAGTGAAGCGAAAGGTCACTGGCTGGCTCACTCACTCATCTCGAAATTTCAGAAACTACAAGTGCTAGTAATTTCAAATTTTGCATGGTTCCTTTTAGAACGTAGGCCTACTCCTCACTAAGACGGGATTTTGCAAAATTCAAACCCTACTTACTTAAAGGAGTAAAACGGGATCCACACGTAAGTATGTACGTAGTCGCGGGCGGCCGCTAGTAAACTATAATCACGGTGCGGTAACCAATAATTTGTAACCCACCATATTATAGGCTAATTTTATAGACCCTCGATAACAACTGTCTACAGTATTTTTGCGCACGGGTTATGCATTGCTTATTGTCATTGCCTTTATACCTTACTTGACTTGATTTAATTAGGGTCTTAATTGACCCCTAGATGGGGCAATGAGGGCATCCACGACAGTCCTCCATCGCGTTTAGACCTGAGCTTCGCGTTTGATCTTGCTCCAATCACAGTAGATAAAACTGTGCTCCAAGTCTTGCCGATTTTCTTCGCTTTGTCTGCTACAGTCAAGTGCGCCGCCAAGTTTACTTGGGGCGACCACGTTTGCGTTTTGCATGGGGGTTCAAATCCAGAACCTGCTTTGGGGATGTGATCCGGATTCCTGCGGAGAGGTGGCCGATCCAGTTCCACTTGCAGCGCTTGATCTGCTGGTGGATCGGAGTTTCGTGGCAGCGTTCCAAGAGTTCGTCGTTGGAGATTTTCTCGGGCCAGTAAGTATATGCCGAGAATTTGGCGAAGGCAGAGGTTGACGAGACCTGAAGCTGGTGCGAGATAGCCTTGGTGACCTTTCACGTTTCACATCCATAGAGCAGAACGAATTTAACGTTGGACCCGAATGTTTGTGATTGCCACCCAGGGCGAAGTTGTACGAAGGTAGCTCTTGCCTTGGTAATGCGCGAAGTGATGTCCTCTTCGGTGCCTCCATTTCTAGGACTGCCCAGGAAGGTATAAAAAGTAATGATTGCTAAGTATAAAAATTGGGAAATTCTCTGGTACTCAACCTTCAGGTATTGGATTTCATTGCAGGCAGATAATCCTGGCTAATACTGACTATACAGTAGTTGCAGTGGTGGGAAAGTGTGGTGGCATAAAACCCGCAATAAGTAGCTACCTACTTACTCCTAATATTAATAAAATAATCTACTCTTCAATTGTGTATTGCTAAAAAATGAAATCAAAAGCTACGAAGTCCGGAAAAACCAGTCTAGAATGATTTAGGAGGCGTAATCTAGAAAATCAAGGCACTGATACAAAAAGACATGGAGCTCTAAGTGCATGCTGTTAAGTTTAGTCAATATACAAAATACTGGCACCTACTTACTTACGTAGACCTACTTTAGAGATGCAGACGGGGTATCATTCAAGATAGCAACTCTACACAAACAATAGAAATACTTATGTACTTACAACGAAATTTCCCACTTCCTGGATCTTAGGTCTAATGGAGTAGGCAGGTATACTTCATTTGAGTTTTTAAGTACCTAGCTACTTTGGTTAGAGTATACTTATTCATGTCGTGAGAGAGAGCTATACCTACTCTTTGTCTAGCAGCTAGCTAAGTACCTAACTACTTACTTGCGTTGTAGTTTCTTGCGAATCTCAGTTCTGTAAGTTCGAAGTAACTAGGAAACTATTGTAAGAATGTAAGTTTAACCTTAAGTTGACAAACGCCGTGTTCTGTCAACTTATGAAGCACTTAAGTAAGCAATCACTTAACTCCTCGGTTTCAGCGCGGTGAGTTAAGTAAGTAGGTCTTTACTTACTATCAGCACATCAGCCACTGTGTTAACTAAGTAGGTACTTATAATAAATAAAATAGGTGATTCTTTGCGATAGAACGAGATAATATGACCAGCAATGCATGGGTAGTTAACACAGTTGCCGATAGTAGGTAGGTACTTATTTACCCTCTTACTAATAAAGCTTACACGCTCGTTGAACAGTGTTTTAAAGTGACGTTTAGTATGGAAATGTCATTTTAAAACAGTGATCAACAACTGTGTTACTTTTTATTAGTAAGGGGGTTAGTATTTATTTATTACAATCAATAACACAGAAACTTTAATAATACAGTGTGAGTCACGATAAATAAAGTGCACATATAAAAATATGTGAAACGAGACATATTTTATCGAAGAAAAACATGTCAAAAATATCTGAGATTTTTTTTATATAATTTTTCTTTCAAGTACTTATTGTAAAGAAAACGTCTAACCCTACACTGCGCGTGATACGACACGCACTTGGCCAATTTTTTAAGTTAACTTTCATTTTCCTGTTTTGTTAAATTGTAATTATCTTTTTTTGTATAATAATATAGTTTTTAGCTAAGTACTAGTAGTTTGTAAATTACTTGTTTAAAAAAAATGTAAATAAAAGACTGCAATTTTTTTTGGAAAGACAAATTTTGTATTGCGGTGGGGGGTTTGGATCTTGCTGGAATACGAATCTAACAAATATTGCTGTTTGTATGAGTGTAAATCGTACTTACAATAGTTAAAATTACAGATAGCATTTTTAAGTGAAAAATTAAAATTTTATAGAACAAATTAATCTAAATATTATTTTAATGATAAGATTTGAATCATTAGTTTGGGCACGGTTTGAGCATGGCATGGTCGTTTCCTCGGAAGTCACTTGAACCACGGTAATACTATCTATACAGTATTCTTCTTCTTCTTCTTCTTTTTTTATGGCAATTTCAATTTCAATTGATTTCNGTCTAAGCCACATTCGCAAGGAACTATTTCCAACTCGGCCATATTTTTGAAATAAATGTCAACAGCCGCGCGGTACGTCACCGTATGACAACATGCGATAGGGCTGCCCACCTGCAGACCCTATTATCACTACATCTGCCTACTTAGAATTTCTATCTAGTTTGGTGAATGTATTTTGTGATTGTAATTTTTTATTTTATTATGACAAACAAAATTCTTTGTGAATGAAATAAGATAAAAATGCATGTTGTCTTGTCATTAGCAGGTTTAACTAAAAAAAATTATTTGTGTTAAGAATTAGTAACAAATAACCGTAAAATGTATGCGCCTCGACTGAGGCGTACAAAATGCTTGATTTATTATACAGGGTGTTAGGTAAATGGGTTTATAAGCAGACACTAGCCCATGTTAACGTGTCCATATAAATGGTATGGTGAAGGCAGAAAATTGATATCAGCATTTTAATAATTTTAATTTTCATACAAATCTTAATAAATAAATTTTATTTTGTATGACAATTTAAAAAAATATGATATCACTGACTACACCATACCATTTACATACAATGTTAACATGGGCTAGTGTCGGCTTATAAGCCCATTTACCTAACACCCTGTATAAATAGGTACTTGTAATTATTTTTTATAAAAAAAACACTTACTGTTTACAAAACAACACATCGTCAGTTTTTTACTGTGGCACATTTGCGACACCCCCGACTTTTGCATGTCGAGCGCATACCGAGATTTGAATTTCGAAGGAAAGCTCGCGTTTCGTCCGTTTATATGAAGTTACAATACTGTATGATAGTATTACCGTGCTTGAACGACGCGCGCCGTTTTCATTATTACCGCCAAACTCCAACCGAAGATTTTCAAAGATCAGTATCGCCATCTAGTGGCAGAATATCACATTAGGTACCAAAGACAACCGTTGAGGTTTTTAAATTATAAACACAGCCTTGGGCAATCTTCTAAATGCCAACCACAACTGTCTGGAGTGTCTATGGTCCATTGAGTCGTATTGTCATCGAGGTGTGCAAAAATTTTAATTGCATTGATATACTAATTATTATAATTAATTTCTTGGCTTAATTACAACTACAAAGCCGTACCTTTACGAAAATTATTTAAAAATTGATTCGACTAACATTGTAGGGACAACACTATGTGTCAGGGAATGAAGTTTGATAATCTGTCTCTGACTGAAGTTCATCGAACCGTCATTCATGTCTGTCTGTTCGTAAAATTTAATTCATCGAGGAAATTATTTAGTTTCTTTCTTCTAAATTAATTAAACTATGTCTTTTTAATAATGAATATAATTGGGTGTTATATTTATAATATTGGAAAAAAAAATCTATGCGTAGAGAGGGCTTTTTCGTTTGATATGCATTTAAAAGTAATTAACACATAAATGGGTGCTAAGTGGTCTGAATAAATAAAGAATAATGGAGTGCGGAAAAAAGACTGTGAAAATGATATTAGTCCTATTAAGCTTCGATATAAAGTTTTAAGTGGTGCCCGTGGTTTAGTTAGAACAATGAGGTTCCACAGGAGGTGCGGTGACAGGGTCACGCTCCTCAACGACAATTCGACTGCTATTCGAAATTTTGTAGAATTTAATCACGGCCTGATACTAAGCGCAGAGCCTCTGAAAGATGATCTTATGTTTGAAGTGTGCATTGATAGAAAGGTAAGCACCTGTACACCTAACTTCTGTAGTTTTAACAATGCCCCTTCCTTTGTTTTAAGACTAGCAAGCAATACAGTTTTTCTTATGATTAAAGTATTTTCTTAAAATGCATGTACATTTTAAATGACTTAGTAATCACATTTAATACAATGTGAATACCCATACAAGTTAGTTATAATATTTCACATAATCTTGTCAGTTCAGGTTCATAAAGGCCCAAAGTAAAAGCATCCCAAATACATAGAAAAATAAATAAAAAAACAGTATTGCAACTACTATAATATAGACTTTGTTATTTTAAACAAAGCACAAATGCTTTTAAGTACAAGGTTTATTTGCAAAGCAAACTTTATTAAAATATGAACACAGAATCTCCTTATTCATTGTTTACTTATGGTTTTTGGGGCATATAGAGCTTGTCTTACAATTACATTGCAGAGTAAGCTTTATTTACCTTATTAATTTTGGTTTCTAAACAAATACCTGGTAAAGGTTGAGCTGGTTACAAGAAAAATATAATTATGTGGGTATTATTATAAAATATCATCTTGGGTCTCCTTCCTTTCTAATGTTACGTAAAAAAAATATCATTTATACAATCAATAGAATATCTGAGTCGGAAGTTTAAAATGTCTAATAAGAATCAAAAATTTTTGTTAGGTGAATGTTTGGAATGGGTCACTCGAAATTGGTGTTACAACGTTGGATCCGGAGTATATGGAACTTCCAGCCACAGCCACTAAGCTTCGAAATACTGCTTGGGTATTTACACTATTACTTACTTTAATAACATTTCATTATAATTTATAGATTTAGTTTTGGGTTTGGACTTTTTAGTTAGGTATTTAAAACCATCTTATTTTATAGAAATTATAGTAGTGTGCTTTAATTTAGATATTTGTTTGCTCTAATTAACTGTTAAATGCCGAGGGTCACTTAGCGATGTTAAACCCCATTGTGTGCGACCCATGTGGCATTAAGGTGTTAATTTTCTAGATTATGTCTGGGAGTTCTATAGTTAAAGATGGTGTAACTGTAGTCAACTCCTATGGACCAGAACTTGACACTCTCCGAGAAGGAGATTGTTTGGGTGTTATGCGCTCCAGTAAAGTAAGTAGATTTTTATTTATTATCCTTCATAATTTACCTTCATCAATCTTTCTTTAGTGTTCATGGTCTTTTATTGAAAATATGGAAACAATCATGAAAAATCTGAAGCATGCATAATGTTAAATAAACATAGAAAATTCCAAAACCATCTGATTTTAGATTTATTTATTAAAGTTTAACATTAGCACTGTTTTTAGTACAATTTTATTAAGACAAGACCTTCAGAATGTTCAATACTTGCAAATGTTAACATATTACTAGGATTACTATTTTTTTTAAATTACTTTAAAGATATTAATTTCCTTCAACAGGCTGAGTTAATGTTTTATATCAATGGGAGATGCCTAGGCATAGCAGCAACGGAATTGCCTCCTAAAGTGTTTGCCGTAATAGATCTTTACGGACAATGTGTGCAAGTTTCTATTACTAATTCCAATGGTATGAGACCTATAATGGAGAGCAGCTTAGATCAGGTACATTAACATTATTTTATTTCTGTTTTGGTTTTTGTGGTTAGCACAGGAAATACCTGGCTAATAGCCAGGTGGCCATACCTAATAGCCGCCAGGCATCATAGGACCGGCCGTGTTGTGGGAATCCTTTTTTTTAAAGGATTAGGTATTATTAGTAATTTTTTATTTCACAAATTACTAATGCTCCTGTTAGCCCCTCGTACTAAGCTAAATATGCTTGGGTCATGAGTGAGCTCACCACAATAGTCAAGCGGCGGCGGGGACGGAACCCGCGTTCTCCGGATCACGAGTCGGCCAGTCCGACCCCTTCACCGTCCGGCTATCGTGACTTTTTAGTATCGTAGTGTCCTTGGGGGAAGCCTTTGTCTAGCAGTGGATGTTATTTGGCTGTTGTTTCAGCCACCAGCCAGCCAGCCACGAACGAACGTGATTAGTAGATTTTTCTTGCATGTATTCATTAACAGGTTGATTTTTGAAAAAAAAAAATACTACAAGTAGCTCACACAGACTATCTCTACGCCTGTAACTAGCAACAGCAATGCAGTCAGTGGCGGTGTTGGCGACCGGGGTGACAAACCCCTCCCCTACCCTACCCCCCATAAGTCCCTAAGTGGGCATGAGCTATGATTACCAATCCCTTTCACTTTGAAGAGGCCTATAAAATATATCTCATTTCAGATTGAAGAGGATCCAAACAATGACGATACTTTGACGTCGAGTGAGTTAGAAGGGGCAGTCGGGCCTGCAGAACCGGTCCCAAAGGATTTACCATCACTCCCGCATGTTTACATTCCAATGGTTTCTGATGGAGCTTCTGCTCTAGGTAAGTCTTAGGACCTCTTTCACCATCTCCGAGTAAAGTTCCAATTAGTTAATTTCTTCCTAATTACCACTACTTAGCAAGTAAAATAAGAAGTATTTTAGTGTTATTCAGAGATGATGAATTTCGATAAATTGCTACGTCTATGGGTTTCATAGATGGTGAACGAGGCCCTTAGTATATTCTATTGTAAATTAAAACTGAGTAGGTATACATATATTAATTGTGTACAGGGCACATACACAATTTAATTGAAACTGGCAGCTGTTTTAAATTTTAATCTACCTAGGTCAGACGTAATCAAACTTGAAAGTTGTTGATTCATCACTTTATGTGCCCCGATCAGGCAACTAGCCAACCAAACCAGGAACCTCAGAAATGATTTGCGACGTGAAGTTGCTTGTTCGTTGTCCACCACGTCATCGAAGTTGATGACCTCATTGCATTGACGGCATTATCTGAAAAGCAACAAGTTTTTGATTATTAACAAAATTTTTATGTGATTTCGTTTTTGCAGCGACTCAAGAACGATTACGATTTCATCCGAGGTGTGGCATACTAGTCAAGCTATCCAGTAATAATAAGTAAGTGTGAAATATGTATAATGTGCTGTGTAAAAAACTTATTTCTTCTAGTAATTTTGTACATTACTGTTGCGATAATAATTGATGTAAAAAACCATGCATTGAGCTTGACCGCTACTTCTGTTTATTAGAGTCTCTTAACACTTGATATTGGTGAAACCAGTATGCTTCAAATACGCACCATTGAAGCCATGAAACAATAATAATAGGTTGATGATCTAATTGTAAATAGGTCAGCTAATAATGTTGTATTCCACAGGTCTGCTGAAAGAGCCAGGCCTCTGGATGATTACAATAATGGCGTAGTGATGACGCATCGGCCACTGTACGACAATGAACTATTCGAGATTCGTATAGATCGCCTCGTCGACAAATGGAGTGGCAGTATTGAGGTATTCAATACCAAAGTATTCCCATTGATGTCTGTGACTGTTAAAGTTAAACAAAATTTGTCTTTACCACCCTCTATTTGGCCTATTATTATGAAATTACACCCAAAACTCGATTCGAACTCTACCTTAGATTCAGGCTTTGATTAGTTCAATTTATATTTTAGACCATTGTCAGACAAATAGAATATTTTCTTGAGCGTAGATAAAAACTTGAGCCATTTCATTAAGTGGAACTTATTTGTACACACACATTTTTTTTATTAAAAAATTTGCACCAGTTTTATTCAAATACAGAGTAGGATAGAGATTAACGTAAAGTACAATGGATAATACCTAGTAATTCTTTTACGTAATGAACTAATGGCGTATCAGTTGCAGACTTGATACGACTAATCTCTATTTAACATGTCAAGGTGGGGGTGACTACACACAACCCAGCAACAGTGAGGTTTCCGTCCACCATGACCAACATGGACTCCGGAACCATCATGATGTCTGGATGCAAAGTTCTGCTCAACGGGAACGGCACTTGCATGGAATATGGGAACTTCAATTTAGACGAATTGCGGGTAAGGTTTATTAGATAACTTATTAATAAGTTTCAATGTTTGTTTGTTTTGGATGTTATTAATAAATAATAAGATTTCTTTTATGAAATTAACAAAATTTTCTGAAATATCCACGAAGTGATACGTTGTAAAAGTGCTTATCAAAGTCTATTGGCAGAAAATATGTAGATGATTTATTGTGAAATTCAGTACTCCAATACCTATTTTGATTACTTATTGATTTTATTGTTAGAAAAAATATTTTTATGTATGTTTATTTATATTATCTGATTGTCTAAAATGTCGCCCATCACCTTGAAAACTATTAGATGCATAATGTTATCTGCACATCAATCTACACACAAAATAGGTGATTTCATAGAAAAAAATCTGTTTTTCCTGCCATTTTTTATTTACTTCCCTAGGAGGGTGATACAGTTGGCATGATGAGGAAGACTGACGGCAAGCTGCACTACTTCATAAACGGCGTCGACCAGGGGGTCGCTACGGACAAGATGGAGCCCCAAGTGTGGGGCGTTGTAGACCTTTACGGCATGACTGTGAAGGTATGTGATACCAGTGGTTATCAACCTTTTTCATGGCACGACCCCTATGAAAAAATATTTTGCGACACCCCGACCGTTCGCTTTCTTTTTCGCGCATTTTTTAAGGTTTCATAGATGTCGTAGGAACCGAATTTTTCAATCCACACAACATTTAATACATTAATTTGCATAATTGGTAAATATAACTTACTTACTTATACTTTACTGTTTTTTTTACTGAGGTAGTTTTTACGACCTTTCGCGAACCCCTATAGAGGTTTCGCGACACCCCAGGGGGTCGCGACCCACAGATTGAAAAACACTGTGATACAGTATTGATGACTTTGTTTGGTTGTACGCGTTTAAATTCAAATAGTTTATTCGGTACGAAGGCCCTTTCCAGGGCACTTATACACGTTCTAATATAGCTTGCCCTGCTACCATTTCGGGACAACATATGGGCAGGTGCTGATAAGAAGTGGCGGAATAAACTCAGTCACCCTTATCAGCCTCTTTTTCAATCAAATACAGCAATTTATAACTTACACGACACGTAATAAGTACGAGCTAGGTAGATAAAGTCCACGCGCACTTGTTATTTAAAATCGTTTACTTTATAGTATCCTTTTTTCATTAGGATTTATAATAATCTCAAGAACCAGGTCAGATTAGAAAAAATCTTTTTGGTTAGCCCATTTAACGAGAAAGGTTTAAGCTATATACCATCACGCTAAAAGCAATAGGGAGCAGAGCGTCATTGTAAAATTTTGCAAAAGTGAAAAAATATGTAAACTGTTTGCACGCGTAATACGTAGCGCTCGTTGTTGATGTTTAATTATTGTGAGTCACCTTCTTTACTCATGCAAGTAAAAAACGGTTGTTTTCAAAGGTTTTAATTCATAATGCTGAATTTAAGTTATTATAAGTACATTGAAATTTTATTATTTTAAGAAACTTAATCCGACAGTTATGAAAAAAAGAATGTTTACGTAGCCACTAGATTTTTTTAAGTGCATCAAATTAAAATACCTTTTATCCCGACGTTTTAACAGCATAACGCGATACAACTGAAGCTGCGGAGGCTGTCTAGCTGAGTGCGTCGAAATAATTATACGATCACCTTGCATCTCACCCTTTTCACCTTCTTCTATTTTGGTCCTGGGTATAATCAGCCCGGCAAACTTAACTACACTAGCAGTGTTCGGTGAATGTTGCCTGTAACTTAGGGAATATTACCGACAATCTTACCGCGAGAGAACTGCCGGCAACGGACAACTTAATAGATTTTCACAAAATAACAAATGCATAATAATATCTCACGGCGAACTTCATAGATCAGAAAGATAATAATTATCACGATTACCTTAAGATGACATCATGTTAATTCTTAAAGCGAAATTAATCCTCTTTTTAAAAATAATATTTATAAGCCGTGTGCGACAAATCGATAGCGGTTTTTGTGTCAACTATTTTTTGTAGATGACTGTACCTAACCGTCTGTAGGTGTTCCATTGTGCCTCGACTTTTATCAGTAGACACTGCTCTGAGATCTTGTCTACACGTGTGGTAGTTTTTCTGCGTATATAATATTAATATCACCTGGCTGGCTCAGCTGTGCAGTGAAGTGTGAAAATGGAGGAGGAAAGTTTATATCTTCACTTAAAATAACATGGTATCTCGGTAAGTGATATTCTAAGGTTTACAAGGAATATTTCTTTTGCAGGTCACCATAGTTGACCCCTGTGAGGACATAGATAGCAACATTAATCCACCGGCTATTGTCCCTTGCAGATATCCATTTCCAGTACCACTGTGTGAGTTATCTTTATTCTATATGAATGAACAAAATAGAAAAGTTTAGCAATTTCAGTTGGGTTTTATGTTAAATATTATTCTAGCCAGACTGTTTAACTTTCCATTAATGTTTCAGGTCGATATAGGCCGGCTATAGACGAACATACACTTTTATTTCATACGCTGCGTGATTCGAATGTTATTATTATTAATGATGGTAAGACTGCTCATAGGCCTAAGTGAGTATATTTTTTCCATTTTGATTAGGCAGTTGACACCATCAGTTTCTTGATGTTCCTTGAGAGCTCTCAAAATGCAAGACAGTGCAGTAGTTCATGCAGTCGTAATAGGGGTGATATTACAAAAAAAAAAGTGTAGTGTTTTGCTGTATTTTTACAAAATCTGGGTGAATTGCATTTTGATAGCTCTCAAGATCATCAATAAACTGGTGGTGTCAACTACCCTACAAAATCATTTATCAAGTGCTCAAGTAAATATGTATCAATTATATTTATTTGTGTTTCAGTGCTTTCGAATACTTCAACAACGGAATCGTAATGACCAACAGGACCCTCAGGACTGGCGAGCTTTTCCAAGTGCGGCTCGACCTAGTCATCCCCAAGTGGGCCGGAAGCATTGAGATTGGAGTCACGCAGCATTCTTCTAATGATATTAAATTTCCATTCAAAATGAGCAATGAAAAGTGAGTGAATACGTCTTTATTATTTAGATAATTCATAAAATGACACTTGCGAAATTAGGAAACTTTATGGAAACGTAATTTGTTGAGTAATCTTCATATCTCTTTCTTAACACCTCAGTTGCCTGCCTGAGTAAACATTGACTTCATATAACTTTGAACATACAACAGGACTTAATCGTTTTGTGGCACCTAATTATTTTGTAATCCGTGTGATTTTGTAACTATAGCCTGACCAGGAACATAAAAACCCTAGCATAGAGGCGCGTCAATAGGCTAGTTGCCTAAAAAAATTTTTTTAGTCCGTAATGTTTAATATCAAAAAATATTGGACACGTATATTTTTATTTGTCAATCTAACAAATAATTACATAGTTATGGTGCGTTGAAGTTGCGCACGACGTCACAACGTGCGGCATTTTTAAGCAAGCGTTGACGTCACGGGCCTCTTCTTATGAACTTTGGGGCGCTTTATCTCTTTAAATTTTCATTAGTTTGAAAAAGTGAAAAATACGTGTAGAGTATTTTTTGATAAGTTAACTGACGCACTAATTAAAACTCTTGCTTTTTGACCCAGGCAACATCCCCATTGCATTTGATAGTGCAACACTGAGTACAGTCGTACCTGTGTTAAATTAATTGGCTAACTTTATGTATCAGGATTCAAGATTACGGGCTAATTTGATGATAATGATATTTGATATTATTATAGGTAACCTGGTTTAAACAAATTAAATGAAACCATCAATCGAGCTAGTAGGATTTATTTTATTGTTCATCAATAATCAAATTCAGAACTTGAATATTCAACTGCAATGTCTGCTCATGAACGCTTTAAACTCGGTACTTCTTTCCCAATTCCATAAAATTCAACACTTAGAAAGTGCTAAAAAAATTTAAAATAGGTAATTGAAACAAACCACAACTAATTTTCATAGTGGACTGTACTATACGATAAACATGTCAGTCAATTTGACAACCTTTGTCGGAAACATTATTCAATGAAAATATTGTCCGAACCCTTAGTATTTCTCTTCGACAAATACTTCAACATATTGTGAACCACTTTTCTTTCACGACTATAAAAATATTTTAGCAATTTAATTCACAAAATCAATTGCGCACATTTAAAATAAAGTTGGTTTAAACTTTGACAGCAATAGACTGACATGCAAGGTGACATGTCAATGAAGTTTTCAGTTACTGTTGCCATTAAAAGAAATTAGTACCATTAGTTTTCCGCAACATGGCGATGGTTTTTATGTTCCTGGTCGGGCTATAAAACAATACCTAATGTGCTGTTTATTGTGTTTGACTGAGTAGTTCGACAATAAACGATATAATGTTGGGATTCTAATATGAGGCGAGTCATCAGACAATGAGGGTTTTCGCGATTGAAAAATCCGCCAGATGGAAATACGTAGACGCGAGGTCCAAATGCTGCATGATTGGTTATTTTTGATGTGACATTGACAGATATGTCAAAATCCACCAATCACGCAGCATTTGGAACTCGCGTCTACGTATTGCCATCTGGCGGATTTTTCAATCGCGAAAACCCTCATTACAGGACTGCTACAACAGTTTCATTTGAGTTTTTAATCGATAATAGATTTTTTAGCATTGGGTCTTGTTTTATAAAATGTTATTTTTAACGTTTTCTGACAGATCCGGCACTTGGGCAATGACCGGAGAAGACGTGATTCGAGATGGGACAATAATTATACCTCAGTATGTCAGGAATCTCAACAGATTAGTGGTATGTACCTAGTTTGTATTTTGTAATGAACTTAAAATAGCAGAAAAACACCTCTTGTCCAGATAAGTACCTCTTGTTAGGATTTATACAAATACCAATTTATTTTTTATGTTCTTAAAAAAAACTTGTTATGAATTTAGCACTCGCTTCTCTATTCTCTTAGAAGTGCTATGCAATATATTTCTTTTTTACTTTTCAGGAGGGGGATACAGTTGGCGTGATGCGAAAGGACATGGGCATCCTGCATTTTTTTGTGAATGGCGTCGATCAAGGTCCTGCTGCGTTCAACATACCAGAACACGTGTTTGGTATTATTGGTAAGTGAACTAATTTCTTACACACACACAGTCCTGTTGGAACACAGGAGTTCCAGCGGGAACAGTGGTTCCTACAGTTCCCGTTATTGAACCGCTTTTGTATATGCTGTATATTATTTGGTATTGGTAAATGAACAGTCATGGTTTAATGACAGATTCACTTATCCATGGGATAGTCAGTCTTTATTGGTTGGGTATTATTGGCGATATTGGTTTTACTGTAGAACTTGGTTACAGGAATATAAGTGAGAGGCGGATAGTTAAAACAGTTGATCCGTTAACATTTCCAAGAAAGATGAATATAAATATTATTAAGCTGTAAATTATGGGTTTCTCATAAACGTCTGGCAGGTAATAGGAATTTCTCCTGCGTCTTCTGAAATCGACAGTCTGATAACTTGAAACTTTAGGATTTGATTGTTGTTATGTTCACTCGTATCTGAAAAATATTTCATTTTACTTTTTGTATCTATAGATCTGTACGGGCGAGTCGCGCAGGCTACAATAGTGGAGTGTTACATGCCACCACCGTTCTCACCCGAATCTCCTATATCTACAGAATCTAACGCAACTGTTTACCCGTAAGTTGTTTATAATGCACATTTTGAGCTAAAAATGATTGATTCACACGAATCAAAATGATTAATAATGAAGTTTAAAGGCTTTGGTCACTAGCTTTTAAATAAATAAATTAACTAACTTTAGTCTGCTTCACGCTTAGCTTTGTATTCCACGCCTAGCTCCGCTTGTACCGACGACGGCACATCAAGCTCATTACTGGCAATTTATTCACTTGGGATAGATGCTAATTTGCAATAAAATGTTTGGTGTGCTGGCGACTGTACCTATACATAGTCATAAACATACATAATACTTCTGTCCTGATAAGTAAAACTGTACAAATTGTTTCTGTAGCATACGTGATGATGTTAGAACAAATTACTCATATGCCGCAGCGAAAAAAAAGTAAGTTTATTTTATAGTTGTCCATAGATTAATAGGGCTAGTTAACAAAGTCAATTTTGCTATGAATCGGAATAAGTGGATGTTCTTTGTGAAAATGTATCATTGTTTGGATTTTGCAATATTCTCAAATTGAATTAATATTCATGTCAACAATACTTTTAGTTTCGTGCTAATATCTATTTCACACTATGTAAAGTTTGTTTTAAACATAAATATAATAAATATAATTAAATAAGTAATAAATCATAATGGCACTCATAAAACTCATTCATTTGTTTATTTGTAAATTCGCTTTACAATTTTACAAACCATTTCACACGTGCCAAATAACTAACACTGCCTAACACGTAATGCCATTATCAGATCAAATTGTATGCTTGTTACGCTCAAAAATTGTGTCACTGCCCGGGTATGAAATTTCGTTAAAGTAATGCACATGTAATTAAAGTAAGATGGTGCAACCCAGTCTTGGTTTTATGCGCTTAGGCTGGTTTTAGTGTCACGCGGACTGTCAGTGCGGATCGCTCTGCACAGCCGATTTGTATGAACTGCTAGGGATCGGAGCGGTTCCTCCGGACCGCATTACTCTAAAACGTTTCCTAGAAGTTCATACAGATTGGCCGTGCGGAGCGGGTCCGCACCGGACGGTCCGCGTGACACTAAAACCAGCCTTACAAATTGAATGTGAACAAGCGTTTACGGTCTTAAAAAATCTTAAGTAATAAATTCTTCATTCAATTTGTAATAGTTACAATTGGGAGTTTTTGTTGGTGCTATAATAAAAGTTGTTGCAATACAATTATAAGAAAATCAGCGTTAATTCTATAACATCCTGTATTAGGCCAGCCGTACATGGACTGCTTCACGCAGTTGAGACCGACTGCTTGAAGCCGCAATCGCGCGGTGAACTATAGGACTGCTCGAGTGTGTACGGCAGCGAATGAATGACTATAGTTCACCGCGCGGTCGCGGCTTGTTCTTGTGCGGCTAGACCGAGTGCTTGACTCGGTCTCAACCACAGATCACAGAGACTAAAGGGAGATGTGACAAGGGGGCGGGGCCAGGGTCGCAGCAATATGCCCAAAAACAGAACGCATTGCTCGTATCAGCAATGATGACAGCAGGGACGTCATTGAAGTAAACAGTTTACATTACTTGCGTAGTACTAAAAGTTATTCGAACGTTAAGTACTGATACCGCAGTGGATAATGACCACATTCAAACTACTAGAATGGATTCAATCGCACGTCACTGCGTATGTAGTGGTGCTGTACGTACATTACTTGCAACCTGGTAAGCGAACGAATAGTAGCTCTGAATGCGATGTGTGCATGACACACACTCTTCGCGACGCATTATTTTTATTCTGATTACTTTTTAATTGGCATTTCTATGGTCTCAACTGCTTGAAGCAGTCTGTGTACGCCTGGCCTTAGTGTCTTGTGACGTCATTGTCTGCGCTTGTTCCACAGCGAGATGTGTTTTCACCGAGTGCACGGACGGAACGCGTACCTTAACCGAGCTAGAACGACGGCGTACCGAGGCACCGTGTACTCGGAATTCAACGACGCTGTGCTGTTCAGCTCGAGACCGTTACGAGAATGCGACATGTTCGAACTTCGAATCGACAAAATGGTCGACTGCTGGATCGGCAGTCTTGAGATTGGTTAGTTATAAAGCTATATTTTTTCTAAATATGAGTAACACCCCAAATTGTTTTATTTATTTATTATGTATTGTTTATGTAGCAAAACATGTGGACTTATTTTATAGCTGTAACAACTGTATACCATGTTTTATGCAAATAAACAATTATTCTATTCTATTCTATTCTAAAATCATTTGCGATAAGAGTGTCAAATTTTTTGAGGCTATCTTCGTAGTCTTCTAATCTTTCAGGAATTTCCAACCCTTACTTCTTTCCTAAAAACTAAACAATAATGGTTCTTGGATCATAAATAATACTTTACATGGTTGGTCTGGTCCGTTAAAATACAGGTGTTTTTTAATAAATTTAGATATTGATGCTACCTTACATTGAAGTTGTTGTCAAAAACTCAAATCTGAGTTTTGTTTGGCAGGCGTAACAGCTATACGTCCAGAGGATCTTGAAAGCAACGGTGGCGTGGGAGCCTTAGCAGGAACTGCGACAGATCTCAGCTGGGACACGTACATCTTGAGCGGCGCCGCCATGATGAAAGACGGGGAATGCGTCAGGAGCGGGTACCCGCTTGATCTGGACACACTCACCGTGGGAAGCAGAGTTGGTGAGTAAAGTAGACCCAGTGAAGTATTAAGAGACTTTTGCAGCACCGTCATAGATGGTAACATCTTAGCATCTATCTTTGACGCAGTTTGCTACCAATGCTTAAGTATTAACAAAATGTAAACTAATGATTAAAAATTGTACTAAAATGATAAAACGTTTTGTTTTATCATTTCACTTAATTTTTTTACGCAGGTCGGGTTTTTTTTATAAAATCTAATATTTTCGAAGCATGGATTATCTTATTTACATTGCAAATAGGCATTTTGGAAAATCTCACGTGAGATTAGGGGGTGGGGGAGGGGGTCTGGCAAAATCTCATGAAATCTCACCAAGGGGGGCGGGGGGGTTAAAAAATAGCCAAAATTGTCTCACGTAATTAATGGACGCCCCCAAAGCGGCAGAAGTGGGTACTTACTTAATCTCAACACGCTCATAGTGTAAGCATAGTCGTAACAGAAGACTGCGCACACTGAATGGACAGTGCGAAGGTCGCAGTACACATCTTAATCGGCGCAGTCTCTTGGTTTTGTCTTTTCAAACAAAATTTAATATTCTGTGTAATACGCTCATGTGGTCTCACTTTAGTATATTTAATTGATACATAATCTCATTCACATAATTCAGTTCTGCTGTTAACAATTTATAGGTCGCGCAGCAAGAGTTGAGGCGATCAACATGTGCAAAGATTTGTATCTTTATATGCTTGTCGCGCTGATGACTTCTTGTGTATTCTGATCCATTGTTCTGTATTCAAATATTACTTTAGTTACAGTTACAAATATTACTAGTGTGACTAAGTGTTCGCCTCAACTTTCGTTGTGCGACGTATAACGTATCTTAAAACTTTTCTACATCTTTTAAGAACAGTTCTATTTCATATATCTCCTGCAGGCATCATGTGGCACGCTGACCGCAGCTTGCATTACTACCTTGACGGCATGGATATGGGCAAGGCGTGGTACGTGCCCCATCTCAACATATACGCCGTGGTGGATCTCTATGGCCAGTGCACTCAGGTTAGTATTTGTTCATATACAGACGACAGCATATCAAGTGTAACACAAAATCTTATACCTTAAAGTGGTCTGAAGTGCTATTGGCTGCACTTCACAAGCTTAACACCGATGTCGTCGAATATTGATCGTTTCATCCACGAAGACGCGCACCATCAATTTTTGGTCGAGGTTAGCGCGGGGTGCGGGGAGTTTGATCCGAGCAATCCGAGCGTCATTATTGTAGTGTGCGTGTGCACACATGGATAATTTAGTGTGTACCGATAACACTCGAACATTAGCGGAAGAATGTTGGGGCGCATCTTCGTGGATGAAACGATCTATATCAAATTAGATAAATTATTTAATCATCTATCTGAAAACTAAAAACGAGCTCTCGTATTTTAACCGTGTACGGGCACGGCGTTTTATAGTAGAACTAATTTATTGAATTAAAGGGCCATTTTTGCTATAAACATCTTTTATAACCAGAAAATATTTCATTTTCATCACACTTTGTTTTCCATAGGTGACAATAATGAAAAATGAAGAAAGAGCATTCAATTACAACGGATGCAATAATTCTGACAATTCATTATTGGAAGCAAGAAATTACATTTCGCCGCCTCCGCCATATTGGTAAGTTAGTAAAAATGCTAGATTTAAAAGTGGAGGTGTTTTTGAAAATATTTAACTACTAGCGGCCGCCCGCGACTTCGCACGCGTGGATCCCGTTTTACCCCCTTAGGTGTTGCATTTTGCTAACTCCCGTCTTAGTGATCACCTACGTTCTAAAAGGAACCCGCATGGAAACTTGGAGACTCCTAGCACTTGTAGTTTCTGTGAGTTCGCAATGAGTGAGACAGTCAGTGACCTTTCGCTTTTAGATTGAACTATTTTTGAATCCGTAGGTGTTTTTCCGACTACTGCGGTGACAATGTCTGCCTAATGAAAGAGTGTTCGTTCGCTAAGCGATACACGCCGGACCCGATGGCAGGATTGGTCTTCAGCTCCACGCATCTTGCTATTGGAGAGATGTTCGAGGTATGCCACAAAAATTAAGATATTAGGATTCCATGATACCTTCTTTTTAAATACTTATTCTAGCCCTAAAAAACGAGTTAGGACGCGCACACACCGGTGACTTTTGTCACCGTGACAAGTATATCATTTCTCTTTTACACTTTAATTAAGAGAAAAAGAGAGAACGTTGGACTTATTCTTCTATGGAGAAACATACTGTCACGGTGACAAAAGAAACCTGTGCGCACGCGCCCCCTCGGTTTCGACTGGCGGTTTTAGTATCTTTGAAATCAAACAATTTTCAGTCAACTGAGTTCGCTTTTTTGCGATGAAAAGATGTGTTTATTTTATCAAGTAGAAGTAATGGCTTTCCACTCTTAACATTTTGTCTTCACCAGCTACAATAATATATCTACATAATTATAAATCTCGATATCGTAGATCTCTTATCACTTTCTTGGAATATGTTTTACTTTGATGTTGTCAAATGACAAATAATATTGCAGATCAAGATAATGGAAACCAACCATAGTTACGCGGGTAGCTTTCGCATGGGCGTGACTGACATCAACATACTGAACGCTCACGTCAACAGTAGCTTCCCACCGTCAGCGTTGTACTTGCCTCACTACACGGCCTTTGTTGACGGTTAGTATGCACTTGTTATAACCCACAAATGTATTGGTCTTACCATTACATCTGTGGGTATTGGGATTGTTATAGGATTTATAGGTCGCGCATCGAGAGTTGAGGCGATCAACAAAAACAAAGATTTGTATCTGTATACGCTTGTCGCAGACGTCTTGTTGCTTGCCCTGACTGGTATGCTTTCTGTCTCGCTTGCACACAATTAGCAAAAGCGAGGCAGCTAGTGTATTCGATATTTGGACTCGAATGTATTGTGTGTATTCTCTGTTCAAACATTATATCAGTATGTGCTCGCCTCAACATTCGTTGCGCGACCTATACGCAGAATTCGCTGCAGAGGTCGCTACTAGCACAAACGCTATTATGCGTCATGACGCATTGATTCGCAATAAATGATCCCACCAAAAACATTGTCATGCTAAACGTAGGCGCTAACCATCGATTTTTAGTTGCCCGATAGTTGAGCCCGATTTTAATTTGAAGAATCGTTCGATACCAAATCGGTGTAATGTGCGCACTTCCATACATCTCTCTCCGTACTGATTACCGTACTGAAACAGCCCGAAGCCTGTTCTTCACTTTTCTGTTATACAATATTTTTTGTAGTAACGAAACGATGACGACACTAACGAGTATTGAACCGAAATGGTGCGCTATCGCATATTACTTTACTCTCTTTCATACATCCTATTCAAATTATCACCCTTTTCATTCCAGGCAAGTACATGAAATACACTCGATTGGGTTCGCGAGGGCATGACATCTATTCCTTCTTGCCGTCGTTCGAGTGGCTGCGCCCTGGCGATCGCATCGGGTTCAAGAAGACTACAGATAACCGTGTGCTAATATACTACAACATGGAGCTATTGGACATGGCTTTCGAAAAAGTTCCTGATGTAAGTTAAGAATAAGGGATTGTACACAAAACTTCGCGATGCGGATTCCCAACGCAAACAAAATAGGACACGATTTTCTACGATGCGACGTCGCATCGCAGTTTTGTGTACAAGCCCTAACGTAGCACGATTACAGATTGCTAATGCTACGGTCATATAAGATTGAAGATTGATTTATTGATATTGATATACAGATAAATTATTTCATAGTCAAATAAATTAATGTACATTCGCTGACTTTATTACAGAGAGTTTATGTCCTCATGGAGTTGTTTGGCAACGTCACAAAAATACAAGCAGTTAGCAGGGGATGTCTAGTCAGAGCGTTTTTGCAACGAACAAGTAAGAGATCTGTTATCCTATTACATTTCAATACTTATCCGTTTAAAATACGTCATTATAAACCAAATCATTCTCATTCACAGTTCCGAACGATGACGTAAAACCAGCAGTTGATGCAAACGGCGAAGGAAATAGCGCTGGTCAAGCTGAAGCGTCTACCAGCGAAGGCGAAGTCCCTGAACTTCCACTGTCAAACGAACCAGCGTCCGCTGAACAAGAGACAGCAGCGGCTGAGACTGGCGATGGAGCAGAAGCCAGTACCTCCACTGCTGTACCGGCGAATACGGAGCCGAAGAAAAAGCGACGCCCCCTACCGTACACATTTCATTACGTCCACGGAAAGAATATCAAGCTGTGCAGTTCAGGTGAGATCTTTTGCACATCTAATATTTTATTTCATGTTAATGCTGGTCATTGTTTTGAATTCATTTGATTTTGACATGAGTTGAATGAGGAATACATCTGTGTTGTGTTGTGTCGTGTCAGAATCGTCATAATTTATTTTGCCTCTTCTTCAAATAGACAAAATTAAGTATGTTCTTTTTCTACAAAGTTCATACTGTATGTACCTATCTATCTTTGCGAGGGCTTGCCACCACGACACACCACACCATAGATGTGTATCCAATAAAAATATTTTGCTTTTCAAATAAGTACTTGTTGATGCTTCAATCTTGACGTTTGATGAACAATCTTTTCAGACACCGTTGCTGTGCGCACGACAGGATATAAAGATGGTATCGCTATAGTTAGTCAACCGCTAAGAAGGGGAAACAATTTTAGGGTAGGTGGCCATATGAAAATATTTTTACTGGTAAAGCGCTATTTTTCGTGTTACTTTTTTAATTTGATGTTTTCTTTATTATTTTTTACAAGCTTTTAGTTGCCGCGCTGTGTTTCATTGGGTAAAAAGTAAAAAGTTTCAAGTTCAATTGATCCAATTTTCTTTGATAATTTCTTTTAGTTTTTTTTGGCTTGATTTGGCTGAGTTTGCAATTTGCGTATGTGGGATGTAAATGCAATTTATAGTGTGATTATCACACGGCTTATTTTTTATTTGTTTTTGCTCTGTTTTATTGATTTTATTACATGTTCATTTCGTTATTTTTTGGTATATTTTAATGCACATACATTAATTACATTATTATGATCGTTTACCACGTTTAAAAGAATCTTCAGAATAGTATTTAAAAATTATTAAGCGCTTGCGGGTTCAAATCCTGTCATGGACAAATAAACTTAACACGTTTTTATTAAGGGCTTAAGTTGTTATAATGTGGATTTCATGATATTAAGCTGGCGAAATCATGCTACTGCATAAAATACATTTGCATTTGTAATGTGAGGTTACCGTATGCATAAATGTCGACTCGAGATCCGAGGAACGCGGGTTCGAACCCTGCCGCTACTGAACTATTATAATGAGCCAACTTGTATAACAAGCGTTATTTATTGTTATTTATATTTTATTAGCTTACCACGAGGGGTTTACGGAATAATGTACTGACAAATTACTAATTAAAAAAAAGGTGTTGGACTGAGCCCACGCGATTGTTAAAAGCGCTGCAATGATGAGTATAATACGCACACGCACGTACATTTCATATAATGATAGTTCTGTAAACGAGTTCTTATTTGCCTATTGCGAATTCGCTAAGCGATTTCCAAGAGATGAATTTACCAAAAGACGTTTGTAAAAGACTAATAAATTAAAAATACAGTACTGATCATAGTCTCCTAATAACTATGTGTACGTACCAATAGTTCTTATTCAAATCAAAGAATATTTATGCTTTAAATTAGTGTATAAGTTAAAGAATTGCAATAATAATATGCTAGTTACATAACTACAACTTTTGCTCTGCGGTTGCTTACTAAGCTGTAAATCGAAACTTCGCCCCAAACTAAACAAAGCTATGGCGACCAGACAAAAAATTAATACAAATAGACGTCTCTATACGTCTGACTAAAATTTGCCCCATGCGAGATTTGAACCCGCAAGCACAGCTGACCTTGAATTTGTATCAATAGGGCTAAAGTTCATCTAGCTGTAAACAGTGCTTATTGATACATTACAGTGTATAGAGAAAGGGCATATAACGTGCAGTAGCTTATGTGATCCCATAATAGTTATTATAGACTTGATTTTTCAATTTTTTTTTACCTGGACGATCAATATAGTCAAAACAGAAACTGTCAATGTGCTGTTTATTTTTATTTTCTATCGTTTTTAGCAATACAACCCGATTTTTGAAAGGACCCTTAACAATAGAAGGTGTGTCTCGTTGTCCACAGTTCCGCGTGGACAAAGTGGGTGGGGAGTGGTCTGGTAGCGTCTCCATCGGGGCTCTGGGGACTCTGCCGGCGGACAACCTGCCGGCCTGCGCTATGAACCTGGAGCCCCCGCTGTGGGCAGTCTCCAGCGACCTGGTGCACGACAACGGGACCTTCGTGAGTCTTATGACAATGGCCAGTAGCCTCATTCAAGTTACAAAACTTCAACGACAAAAAATCGCTGAATGCGATCCTATCGAGTATTCTTCTATCGAAATGATCCTTATGAATACGGATTTAGAACTGTTTTTCGATTGGACGACGTAACAAAACGTCAATGACAACAAATCGCTGAGTTGCGTTGCGATCCTATCGAGTAATCTTCTATCGAAATGATCCTTATGAATACGGATTTAGAACTATTTTTCAATGGGACGACTTCTGAACGTCAGCGAGATCTTGACTGTCAAAATGCGTGAATAAGGCCACTGGTAGCGTCTCCGTTTTGACAACCTGCCAGCCTTCGCTATTTACCTGGAACCCCCGCTGTGGGCCGTCCGAAATCGGATGAATCCTTCTTTAGTTGTGGTTAATTTTTCAAATCTCAATATCTGCCATCTTGGATTGGCATCTGTTTTGAGAAGACAATCCGATAGTTAAGTTATAAGTTCATCATAATAATAAACCTATCTAACTGCTATGAAAAGGAAAGTTGGCAACCCCATAATTATTTGACTGATCCTGGACTAAAAACGTGCCTTTATAATCGTATACTTTTTAACCGGTCGCATGCCAGGATTCCAGATAGTAAAGCGATTATCACACTGCACCGCGCTCCGCCGCGGTACGCGGGACGACAGATTTAATCATTATATGCAAGTACCTCAGTTTGTATAGAAAACACGCGCGGCACACACCGACAACGCGTTTGCGCGCGGGATTCGTTATATGGTCGCCACGCGGACCGCGGCGGAGCGTGGTATAGTGTGATAATCGCCTAAAATAAAAATATTTGTCTCACTCTGATCAGCACTTAGGCATACGTGGCGTTAATAGCCCTTTTTGTTTTTCAGAAAAAGACCAGCATGGCATCAGCACTAGAGGAGTTGGGCGAGCAGTCCGTGCTGACGGTCCATTTCAGGTTCAACAGCGAGCTGGTGGTAGACCTGGACGGCCAGGTGGTGGGCATGCTCGGGCCTGTTCCGCGCTCCTTCAGCCACGTTTACCCTATGATCGACCTATATGGTCGCGTAACACAAGTAAGGATAGTTTTTGAAGTAAAATCGTACTTAATGCGACTATACAGTGTGAGTCACGTTAAAGTGTACATATGAAAATAGATGAAACTAGACCTATTTTTATCGACAATAAAGAGGTCAAAAATTTTTTGAGATTTTTTTAAAATTTTTTATAGAATTTTTTTTTTCGAATTTTTATTGTAAAGAAAACGTAATAACTTTTAAACTAAGCGGTATATCCTGATAAAATAAAAACAGTAATAATGCTAAATAACAGGCAATACTAAAAAAATACATAAAACACACAAAAAATGCCAACAAATAATAAAAAATTATACTTTTTGAAAAAAATCTGCTTTTAAATTCGTGTTTTTTTGGTTATTTGGTAAATTTCTCCAAAAAATGCCCCTATAGCTGGTGGTTTTTATTACGTTGTATTATTTTCTATCATATTACCTTCGTAAAACCAAAAATCGCATGTCTCTATCCCTATCACAACATTTGCTATGATCGTTTGAACAAAGGCCTTACAACAACATTATTCTCCGCTACAGGTAGAGACAATTTTAATTTTAACTAAAATGCTTATTTTACTTCAACATCTTTTGATTTGATTTGAAATCTAACTTGTCTTTATCAAAATTACAAATCTAGAGCCATTTTCAGTTTCGTTGTTAATGAAGCATTGAATAGCGCGCCCGGAGAGGCTTAGTTCAAACGATCATTGCAAACGTTGTGATAGGGATAGAGACATGCGATTTTTGGTTTTACGAAGGTAATACGATAGAAAATAATACAACGCAATAAAAACCACCGGTTATAGGGGCATTTTTTGGAGAAATTTATCAAATAACCAAAAAAACACGAATTTAAAAGCAGATTTTTTTCAAAAGTAATCATTTTTTATTATTTGTTGGCTTTTTTTGTGTATTTTATGTATTTTTTTAGTATTGCCTGTTATTTAGCATTATTACTGTTTTTATTTTATCAGGATATACTGCTTAGTTTAAAAGTTATTACGTTTTCTTTACAATAAGTAATTGGAAGAAAAAAAATTGTATAAAAAATTAAAAAAAAATCTCAAAAATTTTTTGTCCTCTTTTTTGTCGATAAAAATAGGTCTAGTTTCATCTATTTTCATATGTACACTTTAACGTGACTCACACTGTATAAGATGCCAGTTTTAATAACTTCAAATCACGTTACACAGATTAAATAATCCTACTAATATTATAAAGGCGAAAGTTTGGATGTCTGGATGTTTGTTACTCTTTCACGCAAAAACTACCGAACGGATTTTGTTGAAACTTTACAGTATTATTGTTTATAACCCAGATTAACATACATATAGGCTATAATTTCTTTTCTGTGATGATGATTCTGATCTGTGACACTAAATTTCAAACGGGTGAAGCCGAAAAACATAACCCTCTTTCTGGCGCAGTCGGGTAATAATGGAAGACGCACATTAATCTCTTTGCGTACACGCGATCTACTAAATTAGTTTCTGATAGCAATAACATCCTATAGTCGGTATTTTAGCTCAGGGCAGCCTGACTAGTCTTTGTATTGTACCCGGACACCTGGTTCAATGAACTGACCATTTTGTTTTTCTCTTTCACTTCAGGTATCAGTCCTGCTACACCCCTACGTGGTAGCGAGCGGGAATTCTCTCGATCTCCCCATAATAACGGAAAACCTTCGGGAAGAATCCCTCGCCGAGCTCGATTTGGACGACGATGACGACGATCGAGGCAGCTTCAGCGACTACATGCACATTCCTGATATACGCCCCAAGCGCCAAATAAAAGCGTACAGCCAAGACAACCTTGTGGAAGACGATTTAGATCCCATATTCGTTCAACCCGGCCCCAGCTCATACCCGGATCCAGAGAGTCCGATCTGGATCCCGCCGTGCTCCCCTTGTGTTCCCTTCGTCAAACAAGTAGTACAAATGCCAGATCCTGAACCAGAGCCATCGAAAGCTAGCCCTACCACTAGCGGGGTAGCCCTGCACCAGAGCCTGATACTCCAGCCAGCAAAAACTTCCACCCCCATCAACAACAATGAGGCCGTCAATCGCTGCATACGTAAAAGTCATTCCTCTCACAGCTTTCAAGTCGCCGATGATAATATTTTTGATAGCGAAATAAAAGGATCTTTACGGCACACGCACAGCGTTGGGTCTAGAGTTGGCGGTGATACTGAACGTGATACGAATATTCGACACAACGACCGCTACCCTGAGGCTAGCGATGTCGATAATTTGGATAATGAAATCATGGATGCGTTGACGCTCGAAACCGGGAATTTGCCTGATCTTAGTGAGGAGCAATCTTCGTCGTTGGATGACTCGACACGGCACGACTTCTGGACGGAGACATTATCCGCGGAGAATTTGCATTATTTGAATCGTTTGTTGTGTTTCGATCAAGAAGGCGCCGAAGGGCAAAGCCTTGAGGCCGAGTGGGAAGCCTCGGGCGAGGGCTGCGAGCACTTGCATTTGGTGCTGAAATACTGGAACTTCCTTGCTTTGCCGTACCCCGAGCTGAGACAGGCGGTGTCGTGGGGTCAAGTCAAGTGCTACTGTAGTAACTGCCAACCTGATGCGGAACCACCACTTGCGGGTAAGTTCTAAATATCATTTTCATTTGAGGGATTGTAATAAATATAATGTGAAATTACCTGCAAACATTGTTAAAGGCTTATGTTTAGCAGTAGACAAACGTTGATTGAACTGTTCCCCACGGTGCAGGTGCAGAATTATATTTTTTGCACATTATTTTTTTCTACATAACATTTTGACAGTTACTAAGAACGGTTACATACTGAACTCGACGCAAAGACTCGTGGTAGGCGGTGTAAAAATAAACTAGTGCATATCACGATTTCTCTCGCACTCATATTGGTTATCAGCGACTTCACACAGAGGCAGGCATATCATTGCTTCACTCGCGTACACGGATATACTTCGACGTTACGACGCGTATACGAGCTAAGAGCGCATCAAATGTACGAATTGCGCGTGTGGCAAAAGGAGCGCTTATGCCGCATACGCTTCCAAAAACGGTAGTTTGAAACCGCTGTAAAAAGTATGTCAATTTGCTATAGTCCATTCAGCGTAAGATGGTGATTATGACAGTTCTATTTAGTGAGGCGCTCCTTATAAACCTAATCGATATTTTTTAGAATCGAGAATATTTTCTATAGAAATCTAATCGCCTTTTATTTGTTTGATTTTTAATCTTGATCAAAATTATATCTATGAATTTGAACTATCTGGAAATGGAATAAACGTGAATATTCTTAGTGGTACAAAATAAATCACAAAGAATTAAATATATGCATTTCATTCAATAAAACATCAAAATAACAATAACAAAGAATACGTGGAGAAATCGCATTAACCAAAACCGTCATCAAAGGCAAACGCACACGTACTGACTTAGCTTTGACCTGCCTGAGATAATAATCGTGATTCGATGGTAAGATGACCACCATGCCGATTACTGATTTATTGCGATTGTTTATGTCCCATCCCTATGGGCAAAAGTTCCGACTAACGCAGAAGCAATTCATTTAATATTTTTTCACAATTTTTCTAAATAATAAACTAATAAATAAATAGAAATTCTTGTTTAGGTTAATTGAGAAAGATTAGTTATTGATATTTTGGAAGGATGAAAACACACAAAAGTAATTGATTTTTACAACTCAATATTTTTATTCGTAGAAAGTTAGAATCATAAAACGAAACGTTTTATCTGTCTAAATCACCATCATAAGTTGAATGAACTATAGTGTGTTGTACTCAATTCATAATAAGTGTATCTTCACCAGGCTGGGTGCGAATCGAGCGCATCGACGGCGTGGGCGCCGCTCAGCGTGCTTTCTGGCACGTGGTCCGCTCGACGCTGGGCTCGGCGCAGGCCGCTGCCGCCGATGCGCCTGCGCGCCGCCCGCGCTCGCTCGCTCCCGCGCCTACAACCGCTCCCGCCGCCGCGCTTGACGTGTGAGTATTGAAGCATTGAAGGATTCCTCAAGAAGAACGTATACTTGTCACTGCGGTATAGCGTTAATATTTTTTTTATCCACAACGAGGAAGCTCTTGGCCTTTATCTCACCTGATGGTAAGTGACGATCAGACCGAAGATGGAAGCGGCACTGTTTGACATAAATATATCCACATCCTGCCTACACAGTTCGGCGCTATAGCGCGCCATTAGGCTAGAGCCTTAGGGCCTACCATCGCGCCCGNAGACCACAGATGCGGTTCTGAAATCGAGTAAGCGTCATCTGGAATCTGCCGCCCCTAGGACGCTGCCGCCCCTATGCCGCAGTCTATACGGCCTATTGACAGATCCAGGACTGCGTGTGAGTATTGGTTTGCTAGACGACTATACTCCTTAGCGACACAAGACGCCTCACCTCCTCTACCAACAACATTCGGTGCTATAGCGCGACCCAAGCTTGAGCTCTAGCGCCTTCTGGCACGTGGTCCGCTCGGCGCAGGCCGCCGCCGCCGAGTCGCCCGCGCGCCGCCCGCTCTTGACGTGTGAGTATTGATTTGCTAGACGACTATACTCCTTAGCGACACAAGACACATCACCTCCTCTCGACCCTAGGCTCGGCGCAGGCTTCACTCGACTTGTGAGTCTTGATTGGTTTTACGACCGCGTTCTCCACTGCGTCTGTAACCAGTGTGTGTTACCAGTGATGACATACGGCTCCGAAACGTGGTCTCTCACTATAGGCCTCATAAAGAAGCCCAAAGTTGCACACAGCGTGCTATGGAAAGGGCTATGCTCGGTATTTCTTTACGAGATCAAATCCTAAATGAGGAGATCCGTAAACGAACTAAAGTCACTGACATAGCCCGATGGATTAGCAAGCTGAAGTGGCAATCGGTAGGGCACATAGTACGCAGAACTGACAGCCGATGGGGCAGTAAGGGAGGACACGTACCGAAAAACGCAGCGTGAGACGTCCACCCACAAGGTGGACCGACGACCTGATAAAGGTAGCAGGAAGGCGCGGGATGCAGGCCGCTACCAACCGTGCGATGTGGAAGTCATTGGGGGAGGCCTATGTTTAGTAGTGGACGTCATGTGGCTGAAATGATGACGATGATGTTCTCCACTGCGCCCGCCGCCACGCTCGACGTGTGAGTGACTTTGATTTACGACTATAGTCTCTTTGACTGAGGCGCATTTACCGACAATTTTAGAAAATCGGACGAGACGAGGCGAAACGAAGTTAAAAGCTTTAAAATATTTTTGCGTTTGCATTATAACTGTTGGTAATTGATATTTTCATCCTAACGCAGTTGTCATATATTTTCCTGTGTACGCATGACGACATCCTGCTCAAAACGCCTAACATGAAAGTGTCCCATCAATACACCTTTTATCATGTTGATCCCGTAATCTTTTTTCAGATGGTTCGATGAAGAAGGAAAACCACACAATACTGTATTGGCCATCGAAATTGATGTAGAGTAAGTTTTGTTTTTATTGAGATTGTTATAATAATTCAATACTTTGTAAGACACGATGTAGCCCACACGAGGCTGATGAGTAATCCTCGGTCTAGGTAATATTAATATTTAAGTACTGAATTATTTTATTTACTACTTTTGATTACATTAAATGTGATATCGGTAGCCGAAATTAAAAAAAAAACTATAATTGCTTGAGTTTTGCAACTCTTAATACATTGCCAGCTTTGTATAAAATAATCTTTTACCTTTTAGGGGGTCTGAGGCAGAAAACGATCGGCTGCTAGCATTCCTGATTTACCTGAGGTCCCCGATGGTGTTCATAGATGACAACCCTCCGAGTTTAGACGAGTAAGCCACCATGCATACAAATTCCAGAACATGATCTATTTGCTGTACTGTAAGGGGCACAAGCAGGTTGTCTTAATAAGTATTAAAATGATATTTTACGTACAGTCGATTTAGTCCCCACGCGTCAACTCCACATGCTTTATTAGTGTAACGTACTTTAAGCTCATTATTTTTGTGATCTCAGATATTACGCTGGCTAAGGTTTGTGTTATACAATATTTGTTTTAGCTAATGTATTGAAGTGCAGGTCGCACCACAAGATCATTAAAATTAAAGTAGCTCTTGTTGAACTTGGATCCACACCGCAAGCAAGTGTTGATATTATTTGAGCTAATTGAATTTGAAATAGGTATGTAACTTAGCAGTCTTTAGCTCTTCTGCTAATCTCAATCCACCAAGCTAAATTATGCCTTTGTTATTTACATGCCAAACTTCTTTCATCCTTATTAAGCTATCTCTAGCTTTGCTTGATAGCTATTTGAACTAACCTAAATTATGTTAGCACAGTTCTTGTGGTGACCAGCCTGCTCTTAATTCCGACTCACTCGATATTATTGTCAACGTATCTCGGTGAGGCGTTTAATATTTATAGAAGTATACAGATCAAAAAATATTATTTATCGATAGTAGGTTTTAAAATGTATAACAATTTTAATAATATTCTTAGTGATATATCCACACGGGTTTGTGATATGCTCCGCGTGAGTGATCGCTGTACATTAGTAGAGGTGTCATATTGACACTAGGTCAGCGACCAAGTCGCGTAGGAGTGCGCAGTACTGCATAAAGGCGAAATTCCCGTACCACTTTATCAGTACTTCACTATAAAAATCATCACCTGATCAATATTCTAAATTAATTAATTGGTCAACCGTCTTTAACGTTATTGAATTATGTACCTGTACTATTTTTATTTGGATTCTTAACACTATTTATTTTAACATTATTGTGAATTACACTAGTTTACAAGGCTTTTTACCCAGAGATGAAACTGATATGTATCGGTAGAATTGTTAACCCTTACTTAAAAACTGAACTTAGAAAAAATTTAGGACGTCAAATTTTGTAAATACTGATTATTAAAATTTTTATCATTTTTATACATTTATCTCTAAAAACAATCAAAAATAAGTCGTGTTACTCCTTCTTTTATACTGATTAGTATCAGTTTCCCTTACTATAGACCAGCAGCAATCCGCTAACATATTTTTATCCCAAATTCCTTGGTATCTTTCCTCAAAAACCTTCAAATCCTGGTGAAAACTTTCGCACTGCTTAACACTAACGCTTCCCAGGTTCTCAGGAAAAAAATCCAGGTGAGAATGTAAAAAATGAATTTTTAACGACTTATTCACACCCATTCTTTGTTAATTCCTCAATAATTTGGAAACAATTTCTGCATAATTCTCAGATAAATTTATAGTTTCCCAGGAAACTTTTCACTGCTGCTTTAAATTAATACCAAGCATCTTTCCCTTACTGGAATTGCTGGGTAATGATGGATAAAGAACTCCTTTAGATTGTAGCACAGGTTTTGTGACTGATGCAACATCAGGATATTGTATGTTCTTGGTTTTTGTTGTTAAAACCTGCAGTTTCAGTGAGGCAGAAGTAACAGTCATTAGAGTGATTTGTTGGTTCTCTCCATAACATTGGGGTGCCGAATCGTATATGTTTTCTTTTTCCTGCAGCCTAGTGCAATAATATACTTCTCAAATTTTCGCACACTACACCAGGAACCCATTTTTTCAGGTTTGTTCCCGAGATTTGAAAGTAATAGAAATAGGCCCGTATTAGGGTCTCAGTGATTGGTCTCTTATTTTTTGACAATATAATTTGACCACAAACTTAGCAAAAGTTATTTGGGCTTAATTTACACTGCCTTGGTGACATTTTAAAACAAGTGAACATGTTAGAATAATACTTAAACGCAATTAAAATAAAGTAGAAAAACCGACACGAATAACAAGACAGCTTACTTAGGTTAATGTGGATATCTCAAAAACTTGACGTGATAAAAATTTGAGACATATATTTTTGTAATAAGGGGGCTGGTAGAAAACACACGCAATATGAATTATCTTTGGGTAAAAGAAAAACTTTTTTTTTGTAAACTAGTGTTATTTGTATACAAAAAATATTTGTTTATTAATAAATATTTTTGTGAGATATTCTTTACGACCTCATAAGGCTACTATATGTTCATAAAATTGTTAGGCCTTTTTATTCAAAGGAACATTAGTTTAATGTACAGATTTATTTTATATTGTGTAATACATGTATATTTTATTGGATACTCTTGTAGGACAATAAATCTCTTTCAAATTTATAATATCTACCTTACATAGTGATCGCTATTTCAACGGAGACCATGTCGTGATTATTATTATCCAGTAGAGTCACTCGTATACATCGGGTTGACCCTTTTGTAAACTAATTCTATTGATGAGCCCGTATGAAGTGATTCGTCGAGGGTATTTTATTCGATAAATGTTCCCATATAGCCAGCTCTTATAATACAGACATAATGCTACGACTCTACCTGCTTTTTAACACGTCAAGTGTGGTCTGCCTATCTACAAAAGTAGCCACACATTTTTTATTCAAGACAATAATAATCTAAGTTATTATTTCTTGGGATATGTGTGGTATAGATGTCGTGAAAACCTTTCAATAAATCGACGTGATACAACGCAGTTAAAGAAGTGGCATGACAAGTCGAGCGTTCATCCATTATCACATTTCGTGCGTCGTATCACGAAAAGGCGTATCTAACAAAATGGACATATTGAGTTAAAACACACCATGTCATTAAAAAACATGCATTTTATAACATCACAAAAGATCGTAACTGAATTATTTTTCAGGACGCCAGTATTGACAGGTAAAAAGGGCCCGAAATGCATTTTTCCATACTTCAAATTATCTTTAAACGTCGCTTCTGTAAAATTGATAAAAATCAGTTACGTCTTTTCGTGATTCGACGCATTATTTGCGTAGTCCTTTAATAAGTCTACGGGGACCTTTTAACGGTAGATACTGCTATACGTAATACAAATATAAATATTTTAATGTAGTAATTATATAAGCAAGCGAATAATAATATTGGAAATACAAGTAAATGTAATAATAATAATATGTAAACGCTCGACAAGTCCACATTACAAATTAATTGGATATCTCAATCGAATATTTATTTCACTCATTGTATAGTTAAGTAGATATGGTGTATATGTTGTTGGCAGTTCTCTCCAGTGCTTAGCGTTAATTTATTATAGTCTACTGTTATTTGGTCATGTTGGAATATTAATGACGTGGCCAAATACTTGTGTAGGCTAATGCAATACCAGAGTGATGTATTCTTAGTCTCGAGGCTGCTTATGTGAAACTGACTGAATACTTTGGATATTTATTATGTATGCATGCGTTATATTGTATCATTTATTCGTTCAGAGTACCTAATAGTAAGTTCCTTATTCTGTATTATTTTTGGAACAAATAAACGAACTTTACTTACGCAGTGTTTTATAACAATTTACCAAACAAAAAACTTAACTTTACGTTTATTTCATAATTCATTGTGTTTAGAGAGACATAATAATCTTATGGAATTGTTTGTAATAAGTGTTATATTATTACCAAGAATATGTAATAGTTCATAATGGTTGGTTTTTCATGATATTTACAATATCCGTATTCAAGTACATGTGAATTGCTACAGTCTTTTGATATTGTAGTAGTTATGAAAACATCGTTAGTTAACTACGTACTTATTTAAAACATTGAGAAGGAAGTAAAACTCATACACTTGATAAAAAGATTTTATATTGGTGTTTTTAATGCTTTACAACAATATGATTGTATCCAAAAGTGTTACACTTAAAGTACTTAATAACTACAATTAAATTATCACTGTTCGTTTCATAGTCACATAGAGTGAGATTCGATACAGCATAGATAAATACACGACGAGCTGGCGACAGCCGCTGCGCCCAAAGTAGTAAATTCGTCGAGGGATGCGCCGCGGTGCGCCCGCCCAGACAATAAATACGAATACTTGTGACAATCCAACGCTTATATTAACAACTAGATGTTAGGCAGCACAAACATCGTCGGGCAATTTCCTACTTTTGTTTTATACTGGTTTGTACTTGTGATGTACACGCAAACGCCCCTGCGCTCGATTTACAATGTAAGGATTCATGATACAGATCTAAGATTCATGTAAAGTTGACAGTAAGAGCCTCGAGTAGAATTTTGCCCGTAGCGATTAACAATGTAACGTGCTCAGTCTAAAATCTCACCCAAGGTAAATATTGTAACCTTATGATCGTGACATATTGACGTTACTATCTAAAACACAATTCAGCTAATTCTATTTACAAGTTAAACAACATCGATATATCTGATGACACCTAAACATTCAACATTCAGACTCGCTCTAACCGCGGCGTGCGCGGGCGCCGGCGCCCCATGGGGCACCGGCATCGAATTACATCTAACAGTAGTAAATACTGAACTTACAGTTCATCAATAAGAAGTATAAGTGCTATAAAATAGTGTTTTTTCACTAAGCCTGAGTGCCGTCCACATTTGCGAGTGATGGGTTGAGAGCCTCGTCGGTAAGAAAAATTGGAGCTATAAATACGAGGTCTGTCAAAAGTGCCTTAAAATAGAGAGAAAATTAATGTGAATAGCTCATCAGGCGAATCCGTTAGGTGAGGCTGCATAGGGCCTGTCGGATTTCGAGGGGGTAATCGGGTAGGCACTACCAAACTTTACACTTGTTGTCGGGGTTCATGGGGGATCCGAGGGGGCACTGGAAGTCTGCGGCGAACTCCTCCATGTTGGACATGGGCCCGACGACGCGGAAGCGGCCGGGCGCGTGGAAGCCGGTCGTGATACGCAGCTTGATGGCCTCGTTGCGGTACACCGCGCACCAGGTGTTGGCGGCGCTCAGCCAGAACAGCTAAACAAAACACAATCAGTATCTCTTTTAATCGATCAGAGGGCTTAGTGTGAGTTTACATCGAACGTCCTCGCTAGTGAGCGCGTTAAAAAATATATGAAAATATTAGTTCTTGAAATCTTTCCGCTAGGGGCGCTGTACAATCCGTCATACATTTATTGTTTTTACGCGCTTACTAGCCCTCAGATGTCAGACGATAAGCCCAGCGTCTAAAGCCGTCAGATTTTGATAGGCGCGCAATGCGCATCACAGCCTGGCTGGTCTCTTTATTAAAATAATGAGGAAACAGTTAAAAGATCTTGCTGGGAATCCAACCCAGACTTTGATACCGAAAGAAATGCACCATTATAAAGATTTGTTGAAAGTTTGACAAATTGGTTGAAGGCAAACTGGTCTCATTTGAGTCGCCTATTGTTTCTCGCTCAGTTATCTGATTAACTAAAGTTGGGTATTGACCCAACTAAAATTAAGTTCTCGACGTGATGACGTCATATTCCTCTTTGCCATACAAAATCTATGGGAGAGTCGTGTTTTGACAGCTCGTAAAAAGTATGTCAAACTGACATTGTCAATTGACTAGGCTTGATTAATCTTACCCTTGGGCCACATGGGTACATCGGGATAACACTCGGGGAACGTTGATTTGACAACGGAGCAAAGTTTTGAAACTATGCAAAAAAGCACCAAAGTTTACACAATAGCGCAAATCTTCGGGTTATCGCTATGTGTATGGTCCAGGAGTTATCCTAAGAAGGTGGATCCAAGTTCTTACCTGCCGTGGAGTGTATTTCTCCAGTCCAGGCAGCCTGGTCTCCTCGCCATGCCGCTGCGTCCAGGCCTGGTACGCGTAGTACGCCTCTTTGATGCCACCGTTGTCAGCGATGTTCTCTCCTTGCGTGTTCACGCCGTTCAGCTGGAATTTTACATTTAAACATGTTATGACGTCACTAAGGTTACAGTTTGGAAGTATATTAGCTAGTGCATAGATAAACGTTAACCTGTCATGGTTAATTTTATCTTTTACCAATGCTTATGTATCATAGTTACATCCAGTTACAGTTGTCGTTATAAAAAGTGTAAATGAACAAGTAAAAA